AGTGAGAAGACTCTGTCACACTGTGTGGAGTCTGGTCTTCAGCACATAGGACTATACTGATGCATTAAGTCCTTAAAATAATGCAGAGTTTTATCTTTTAGGTGTTATACATTAGAAGATGTCCTTAAAACCCTCTCTAATAAAAGCAAAAAAAATAACATAACAAGGAGAGGAGTGAGAGAAGAGTCATTCAGGAAACTTTCGCATTTTATTGCCTTTCAAGAAAAATGCCATTCCTCAGCACACAGCGAGCTATGTCACCGTCGTCCATGCAAACCGCTGCTGTCCAGGTGTACAAAAATAATCCCCCGTGCCCCACCCACCTCCCTCCTGGATCTGTCTTCGTTATTCTGCGTTTAAAATTCCCCTCGAGTCATTCAAAACAAAAACAAAAAAAATCTTCAGAATCAAAACTGTACATGTGTATTTAGAACTATATACATGCACCGCACAGCCAGACAAATCCCATGTCACCTGTGCACTGCGCTCCGGGCCTTCAGGAGCCCGGCCCACACGGGCCACAGGCACAGCTGGTGAGCACAGCGCTCCGCTGAGAGGAGGGGAAGCACGTTCTGGCAGTCAGGGAGCCAGACACAAGGGACAGGGTCACCTCACACACAGCCTGAGCTCTGGCTGCACTGTCAGGGTGGTGAACCGAGCACCTCCCCATAACCAGACACTGAACAGCTGAAGTCTGCATTGCCCCTCCCAGCTGTACACCAAGTATAAATTCTTTAATATATTAAACTTGTCGACCTCTTCATTTATCTATATATATACACACACGGACAGGTGTAAAAGAGACTACATGGGTGCCTGAAGGAATCCAGTCGCTCCAGGCACTCCTCCTGCTTGAGCGAAAGAAGACGGATCAATCCTGAAACGTTCACGGGCCGGGGCTCCCAGCCCTGGGCTCGGACACGGCGGGGGGCAGGGCGGGCAGGTGATCGACAGGTGAGGCAGGTGTGCCCGGCGGGTAGCCGCGGACACGGGGGGCACCTGGAGCACGCTGCCCGACCAGCTGGGCAACGCGGACGTGCCTGGAGCCCGCTGGCCTCGCGCACGAGCTCAGGTGCGAGGGCCTCACGCCACGCCGCCCCCTCCAGGCCCCTGACTGGAGTCCAGGGCCAGCAGGAGCTTCTCCTTGCTGGGCCTGAGCCAGGGCCCTGGCAGCAGGGTGCCCCTGGGCTTGAACCCGCCCTCCGACGGCCTGGCACCCTCCTCCCCCCACGCCCTCGCCCCGTCCGGCTCTGGAGCCTCCGGGGCCCGGGGCAGGAGGAAGGAGAAAGGCTCTCTCTCCGGGGCCTGGGGGCCGGTCTGCGCTGGGGCCGGAGACGGGGGGGAGCCCCTCTGCTCGGGCTCCGGCGGGGCCTGCGCGCTGGGCAGTCCCTCGGCGGGGATGGGGAGGCTGTGGCCTCTCCGCTTGCCCCTCTCCTCCCCCTCCCTCTTCCTCCCCTGCTCCTCTTCCCCCCTCTGTCCCCTCCTGCCCTCCCTGCCCTCGCTCCAGCTGCGCCCCCCTGCCCTCTCCCCCCTGCTCTCTCTCGCCCTGCCCCTCTCTGGCTCTGCACCCTCCTCATCCCGGGCCGGGATCCGAGCGCTGTCCCTAGATGGTGACCTCTGACCCCTGCGCCCTCCCTTCCCTTGGAGTGCGCCGTCCAGGGAGTCCGTCTCGGGGCACAGGGACCCCTCTTCCCGCCGCCTCCCGCCTCCCCTGTTCCCTCTCCGCCCGTGGCCCCCCGATGTCTTCTCCCCGTCCTCCTCCTGCTCCCCCTGCTCCTCCTTGACCTTCGACCTCCTGCTGGACCGGGGGCGGTCGGCGTCCCTTACTGCAGCCAGACCCTGCTCCTTGTGCAGCACTGCGGGGGAGGGCGACTGACCTCTGAACTCAGGGCCTGCGACAAGAGACAGAGGGGGAAAGGGGGAGTGGGGGGGGAGACAGTTAGGGTTCACACAAGGCCGCACATCCCTGCGCCTGCCTGTAGGAGGCGCTGAACGCGCTCTCGCCTGGAGATCTGTGACGATGAGGCTCATGGGAAGGATCTGAGGTGACTGCGTGCGGCCTGCTCTCGGCGCGCTGCGGTTGAAGGCTGCGTGTGTGTGTGTGAGTGTGAGAGAGTGTGTGTGTGTGTGTGCTGGGGGGGAGGCAGCTCAGTAAAGATGGGGCTCACTCCTCCAGCTCCAGGCCGGCCCTGAAGACACCGAGACAGATCACCCAGCCGGCGGCGGCATCCTCAGGGGCATAGCACAGGCAAGAACAACAGTTCCATGCTGTCAGGAATGCACGTGTCGTGCCTGCAGGCTCTCGCTGTGTCGGACAGCAAGTCCCTCTTCTCAAGCGCCTGGGCTCAGAGCTGCCCTGAGGGTGGGTCTGCCGCCGGGCCGCAGGGGCACAGGGGTGAGAGACCCCCCGAGGACCTAACAGGGCAGGGGACTCCTGCAGGGAGGACAAGAGCGGTCTGAGGGGCGCACACCGGCCTCTCCGGCAAGGCGCCAAGTGCATTATTCTACAGTAGGTGTCTTTCAAACCACTTTCTCAAAATACAAACGAATAAATGGAGGTACACCTGGAGCCCGGAGGAGGACGTGTGAGGTGGACAGTCAGCTGCCATCGGGGCTACAGGAGGCCTGGGGGAGTCAGACAGGTACAGCTCACATCACTGGCAGGGAGATCAGGAGCTGTGCAGCCACTGTCGGGACTGTAGCCCCTATTGTAACAGGACTG